GGAACTCAGGTCCCAGGCAACTCCGATGTTAGCGATTTGGCCAGAGGGCTCATTGAGCTCTTAAGAAGAGTCTAGTTAATTAATACAAGCTGACATTTTACATGCAGAGCAGAAATGAGAGCGGGCACCGCTGAGCTCTGTAACCTCACAATTTCTCGATCGAATGTGTCCACAGCCTCTCGCCTGCCAGCGTGGGCAGATCTGGAGAGGGCCTGCTTTGGGGGACATCAACGAGGCGTCGGTCCGCAAGCATTTTACACTCCGTCCAACTGAAAGAGCTCTTTCTGTCTCTCATATTCTTAAAACCACACGTCACACAGCGGCCAGTGTTTAAATCTAGACCCGTTTGTTTTCCATGGGAAAATCCAGCCCCTTTCCTCTTTTAAGAAACATATCTCACGGGAAAAATACTCCATCCTGATCCTGTCCTCCACTTTACCCCCCAAAAGCAGCCTCTTCCAGCCTCTGTCTCTGGTCCAGAGAAGTTGATGAGGATCATGAAAAGAATATAAACACCAAGAATTAGCATTAACTCGTTTGGGGTGATGGAAAGTTCTGGAGATGGAAGGTGGTGACGTCTGCACCGCAGTGTGAATGTACTTAATGCCACTTAAAAATGGTGAATTTTGTGTGTGTGTGTGTATAATTTTGTTTTTATAAATATATATATATAATCACAATAAAAAGGAAAAAGGGCTAGCATTAACCAAGTGAAAACCCTGCCCAGCACTTTGCTTGGAACTCTGTGAGCACAGTAGGCTGTATTTCACCCACTCCATAACCCAAGGAGATGGCTCCTGTTATTTACACAGAACCACCACCGTTTCAGAGATGAGGTATCTGAGGCTCATAAAAGCTCAATAACTTGCTTGAGCAACAGCCAGAAGTGATGGCCCCAGGATCCAACCACTGAGCTCTGTGCTGACAACAAAATAAAGAGGATACTTGGTTTTACATCGGAATTCTGAAACACACGCAAGCCCCCACCCCGCTTTTAATGATCTGAGAACAGACAGAACTCCAGCAGGACCCCTGAGTGACAGCTGGTTGTCTCCAGAAAGTTCCAGCGCGGCCTCCCTCCCCTAACTGTCTGGAGCATGCTTCTGCCTTTTGTCTGGGGTTTATTTGCTTCTTTCTGTGCAGTTAATCATTGAAACAGTGACCCGCAGGAATGCCGTAGCTTTCAGTCATGTTTGAGCATAGCTGGGAAGAAAATTAACGCAGAGCCTGGAGCTGGAGGGGCAAGTCTGTCTCAGATTAGGATTATTCGGGAAATATTGATATCAGGAAGGAAAATAATGTGTTTCACAGCATGTGGTTTTTCAAAGGAGATATACCGGGTCCAGGTGCTGACTCCTCTGCTTCTCATGTGATGTTAGACCTGTTAATTCCCCTCTGAGTCAATTGTCTCAACTGAAAACTAGGAACAATAAAACAATAAAAGCACCCACCTTACCAGGGTATGTGAAGACACAGATTTATTTTCATTGAGTTGTGTTCATTTACTGAGTGTCTACCGTGTGCCAGGCACACAGCGAGGGTACAGTGATGAGCAGAATAGGCACACATCGAGTGACGGGAAATGTAGGAAAGCTTAGCCCAGTGCCAGGATGCCGTCCTGAGAAGCAGTGGTCCCTGCTGCTGCTGCTGCTGCTGCTGCAACTTCGCGTCTACATTTTGGCCCCTTGGGGACCCCTTGACACCTCCTCACTCCTCCCCAGGTGGACAGAGCACAGGGTGTGGTCACCAGATTGGTTCCCTTGGGCTGCATTGAGATTAATCTTCCAGCTCGGCCACAACCCTGGGTAATGGTGGTTCTTCATTCATTTCCTGCTCACAGCAGCCTAGTGAGGTGGGGACTTCTGCTGTCCCCATTGTACAGTTGGGAAAAAACTGCACAGAGAGGCTGACCGCTTTCCAAAGGTCACACAGCTGACGAGCGGAGGGGCTGGGATTTGAATCTCGTCTGGCCCCAGAGTCAGTGATTTCAGCCTGTTATGCTGGGTCTCTATCTTCAATGCCTGTCATGGGGCCTAACATAAAATAAGCGCTCTGCACACATGAGAACCCAGACACCAAGCAGTCAGTGTTCCTCGTGTATGTTGTGTTACAAAGTTCCAAGGAATATTGTGCCTGTTTCCTGTGGGATATGGTGGTGGCTGTTGGGTCTGAAGAGAGAGCAATTTTGGCCTCACTTTTTCCTGCCTATGTTCTCCTCCCTTTTTGCCTTGTCAGTAGAACACGGTTATGGGTTGTGAGGAGCAGTAGCAGGTGAAGCCGAGGTGCTGGCATTGTCATGGAGATTTTGGTGATGAGATGATCCTTACACAGCACCAAAGAGCAAAACACTTTAAGTGCCATATATGTCATAAGAAATGGTACACAGGACCTGGCTGTGCACCGTGGGCAGGCATGCAGAGGGTCGAGGGGTGCTGGACCAAATGCAGTACCAGTGGGAACAGAGAGTTGAAGTGTATGGTCTGGAAGGTATTCCAGAAAGAGACATGGGTGAAGGAAGATGACTTTTTGAACAGAAAACACGGGAGAGTTAAAAAAAGAAGCAACGAGGTGATTCTGATGGATACGATGATGATGATGACTCTGCAGCTTCAAGTTCATTTCAGCCACAGCCTGATCAACCCCCGGGGCACAGCCGGGACCACCACCAGTTCCGGGAATGCCTCCAGGCACACCTCCGTGAATGCCAGGTGCTTCTCCGCTGATGCCAGGCGTGCCACCTGGATTGCGGCATCAGAGAAGATACACCCAGCCGTTCTGTGGTGAAAACATAATGATGCCAAAGGGGGGATGATGCCATCTGGACCAGGAGCCACCTGATGCCTGCTGAGCCACCAGGGACGCCCTGTCCTGGCCCACGTCCTGGAATTCCTCCAGTGCTTCAAGCACAGGCTGTTTCAGCACCAGGTATTCTTAGTAGACCAGCTGCACCGACAGCAGCAGTTCCTGCTCCACGGCCTCCAGTTGCTAAGCCTCTCTTCCGCAGTGCTGCCAGGCTCAGGCAGCTGCCCAAGGACCTGCTGGTGCAGGCTTCACGTCCTTCAGTGTACCCCTGCAACAACTACAGCCCCCCGGAGCCTGTGCTCCCTGCCTGTGCACCGTCTACAGCTTCGACCACTAGTACAACAAATAGCTCTGCAGCTAAACCAGCGGCTTCGATAACAAGTAAGCTGCTGCTCCTACGGCACCAGTGCGACCAGTAAGTTTGTCCATCTGGATGAGGATGTATTGCTGGAAGACAGGTGGGCACAGTTACCTAAACGTCAACGTAATCTTCCTCGTCCGGGACAGGCCCCCACTGGTAACCCACCAGCTGGACCAGTTGGCGGTATGATGCCACCTCAGCCAGGTTGCCCACAGCAACAAGGAATGAGACCCCCAGAGCCCCCTAATGGTCAGTGTGGTGGTCAGCATCGAGGCATGCCAGGTTACCTTCCTGGTGCTGTGCCGCCTTACGGGCAGGGACCGCCAGTGCGCCCCGTTACTACGGGGGCCTTCTCGACCTCCAGCGGCAAGGAGACCTCCTGTCGTGTCGAAAGGTGGCCGTTACTGATCCCACTCCATCCAGTCTAGTAGGTTTGGAGATGAAACCTTTCCTCAGTCCGTGCTGTGTAGGCAGCCAAGCTTCCGTCAACGGGGCTTCATTGTGCCTTTAGCAAGCATTTTCTTCCCACATAGCAGGGACTCCTGCACATTTATTTTACATGGGAAAAATGACTTGGAATAATACAGCAGGAACTTTTCCTGACGTTGCAATTTATCCTGTATGGCTCCTTTCCCGTGTGTCATTCGGTGAGGTCTTTAGAAGTGAAGTATAGTACATTCGATTCATTTTGTTATATTGGGAAGGCGCTGGAATTACGTGAATTTACCAAGTGCTGTTGGCTTACACTGCTGTTTGTCAAGTCTGCCTTCCCAGCATTTCAGTGCAGTTGGACTGCACGTCCGGCCCGCCTGGGGAGGGCTGTGCACCGAAGTCTGAATGTGTAACAATGTTGAATGTGTTTGGAGTTCCTGTTGCCAGGTTTGCAAAATCTGACCCACCAAGGTCACGTGACTTTTCTGTACTTGTTAAACTTCGGTGTAATAAAATGAGAGAAAATTTTAAAATGTAACATAAAATATAAAAAAAATTTCCAAGGAAAAACTGATTTCTGCCACAGGAACTACCCGTCCTGTTCCCTGGATATTGTAGTTCCTGGGGTGGAATTTTTTTAAAAACAACTTTACTGAGGTGTAATTTACATAATGTAAAATGTCCCTGTTTTAAGTGTGTCATTCAATGAGGTTTAGTAAGTATACCGATTTGGCTCGGCTTGTGTGGCTCAGTGGACTGAGTGTCGTCCATGGACCGAGAGGTCCCGATTCCCCCTCAGGGCTCATGCCCGGGTTGTGGGCTCGATCCCCAGAAGGGGGCATGCAGGAGGCAGTCCATCCATGTTTCTCTCTCATTGATGTTTCTATCTCTTCCTTCCTCTCTCTAAAAAAAAAATTATTAAACACCAATTTTTTTTAAAATGTACCAATGTGTACAGCTGTCACTATATCCACCATTCCCATTACCCAAGATCCCTGATACCCATCACCAGTTAAATCCTGTCACCAACCCCCCTCCCCAGGCAGCCCTTGTACTTTCTGCCTATAAATTTCTTCTTATTCCATTTCATATGAATGGAATTATACAAGATGTGATCTTGTGTTTGCCTTATTTTGCTTAGCATAATGTTTTTGAGGTTCATCCATGTTGTGGTGTGTATCAGTATGTCATTCCTTTTTATGGCTAAGTAATAGTCCATTGTATGGATATACCACATTTTTTAATCCATCCACCAGTCGATAGACATTTGAGTGGTTTCCACTTCATGGCTGTTGTGAATTGTGCTGCTGCAAACATTTGCATGCATGTCCTGGGACTGACTAAAACGAAGGGGTGAGCTACACTAGTAACCGTGACCTTTTCTCTCCCCTTGGGGCTTTCTCAGAACCAGGCAGCGGGCAGGTGTTTGTGACTTCGGAGAACCAGCTCGTGTACTACCCCAGCATCACCTACGCCATCATCGGCAGCTCCGTCATCTTCGTGCTGGTGGTGGCCCTGCTGGCGCTGGTCTTGCACCACCAGCGGAAGCGGAACAACCTCATGACACTGCCGGTGCACCGGCTGCAGCACCCCGTGCTGCTGTCCCGCCTGGTGGTGCTGGACCACCCCCACCACTGCAACGTCACCTACAACGTCAACAACGGCATCCAGTACGTGGCCAGCCAGGCGGAGCAGAACGCCTCGGAAGTGGGCTCCCCGCCCTCCTACTCAGAGGCCCTGCTGGACCAAAGGTGCGTGCTGGGTGCAAGAGACCGGGGGAGGGGCTCGTCTAAGCGGGGAGCAGAACGTGTGTCCCACCTGGGTTCCCGGGTTTTGCCAGGAGCCTGCATTCAGGGGCTGTGGGCAGCAGCAGTGCCTGACGTTTAGAGTCCTCACAGAACAGATCATGTGTCATCTATTTCGTCCTCTCGGTGACTGTCTGAGGATGGCTGTGTCTGCCACAACTTTACCAGTGAGGACACTGAGGCTCTGGATGTAAGGTACTTGTTAAGGACGTGCAGTTAGGATCCTGGCCGCCTTGGGCCTGCTCCTCCTGTTAATGCCACTCGCACCCATGTTCGGGCCACCAATGCTCACACGGGGGCCTCACCGGCCACCGCACAGCAGTGCCCGTACCTGTGACGAGTGGGTGAGTGAGTGAATGACCAAGTCCCTCAGCTCTTGCCTGGCTTCATCTGTGGAAGAAGGGGGCGGAGCGGCTCACGCAAGCTTTGTTGAGCAGCAAAACCCTCGTGACAAATGGAGTCCTTGTGTGAAGTCAGAAAGCAGAGTCTGTAGCTGACGTGGGTAATGGACCTGCACCTGCCTGGACCAGAGCTGAGTCCCCCGGGCTGTGGGACGGCCCCGCCCTCCCCGCAGAGCTCTGCCCACGTCCCTCTAGCTCTGAGCCGCGCTCACGGTGTGTGGCTGGGGGCACTTGTAGCCCATGCTCCTGAGGTGACTGGGTTCCTCGTGGGCCCTCACCGGCAGCTCCTGTTACCTAATCTTCGTGTTTCCTCCTCATAAAAGGTAGCTTCAGGGGGCAGTGCTGAAGGATTTCTTTGCAAATGAGCATCAGTGTGCAGGACCTCACTCACCACTCATGACCTCGTCATCTGGACCCCAGTGTAGAGGAAGGTTAACATCACCGAGCCTGGGACAGCGTCTGCGTTGGGTCCCAGCACAGCTGCTCACAAGTTATTGGGGATCCTATGCCAGTCGTTCTGTGCCCCAGCCCAGTTCCTCCCCAGTACCTCTTCGTTCTTGTGGTTTTTACGTTGTGACGAATGTCAGGCCCGTGGCGTAGGCCTCACTCGCAGCCGCTCCCAGGGAGTAAGAGTGGAGAAATGCAGTGTCTTCCCTGATATTTCTTTGCAAGTCCGGCGTCACCATCGTCCCCTTCTGCAGATAAGGAGACTGCGGTTTGAGAGGATGTCCTCTCATTCACCCAAGTCAGGGAGAGGTGGCTTTCAGTAGGAACCCCAGATTTCGTGGCTCATCAGAGGCTCCGTCAAACACCAGGCCAGTGGCTTGGCCACAGGGACCCATCTGATGGAGCAAAGCCGCTCTGCCAAGTCACCCAGGACGAGCCGGGGCACACTTGGCATCCTCGCCCTGGCTCCACCCAGAGGGTGTGGTTTGGGCGCTGCCCAGTTGGCACAAGCTGGCGGAGCGCACCGACCTGCTCTGCTCCCTGGCTTGTGCACCCCCTGGATCGCCCCTCTGCTTGGAGGGCCCCTCTCCCTCACACCCCCTTCCACGCAGAAACGGGCAGAAGCGGGCAATGCCTGCCCTGCCTCGGCTCCTCCTAACACGTCCTTTCTCCTCCCCCGCCCATCCTGCCTCCTCTGCAGACCTGCCTGGTACGACCTCCCTCCGCCGCCCTATTCTTCCGACACCGAGTCGCTGAGCCAGGCCGACCTGCCCCCTTACCGCTCCCGGTCCGGCAGCGCCGACAGCGCCAGCTCCCAGGCAGCCAGCAGCCTCCTGAGCGTGGACGACACCGGCCACAGCCCGGGGCAGCCTGGCCCTCCAGAGGCCACCGCCGGGCCCAGGGACTCCGTGCCCAGCCAGGGCACCGAAGAAGTATAAAATCCAGTTATTCCAAAGTCCACGTGGGTTCATCTACTCTGACTTGTTACCACCCTAACAACCTGTGCTCGTGGGGAGTTCTTCGGGGGCATCGGGGTGATCTGGGGCATCAGCTGTGTCCACTTCCCTCCCACCCCCGGCTTCGGGGATGTTCTTAGAGGGTGACCTAGTGTTTTCTGGCCTCTCAGTGGGGGTGTATTGTGCCTCTGTTCTGGGAGGTCACTCCCCAGGGGGCCCAGGATCACAGCTTTGCTCTCTGCGCCTTCCGTCACCACTGTGAGCTGGCCGAGTGGGCGGCAGGACGGAGCGGGGCCTAAGCCCCTGAGAAAGCAGCTTCTGTGCGGGGTCGGGTGTCCAGGAGGGCAGAGACACTGGGCCACGTCCTCTGGGGTGCCGTCGGAGGCTGGGGTGGGGGGTTCGGGTTGGGCGATGCGCCCAGGAGGCCGTCGTGGGCTGTCCGCCCAGCAGGGAAGCCAGGCGAGCGTCCGCCCCTCGCCTCGTCCTGTGCATCCCTCTCAGTTCAGCAGAGGCAGCGGCCAAACAGAACTTTTGGCCTGAGGAAGGCCCGTCAGTAACCAGTCATGTCATTCTGGCTTTGGGGGCGACCCTGAAACTGTCTATTCTGGACAGATAGATTCTAGCTTTCGAAATGTGCCTGAGCATCCTCGCTTGGGGGCCTTCTCTGGCAGGATGTGTCATCAGCCTCAGCCCAGAACGGGCAGGAGGTGCCCACCAGGAGCTGATCCGCGTCCCCAGCTCCCGAGAGGCAGGCTGCCAAGAGCCGAGGCCTGCAGAGTCCACAGGCCCTTCCCTGGTTTCTGGGTTGTCAGCCCCCAGCGGTGACTGCCTGTAGCCGAGGGAGCACCCGGCTGGAGTTGGCCCTGTGTCCCTGTGAACCACCCCCAGCTTGCCGACTGTTCGCGCGGCTTCAGCCTAGCTTCCTAAGTCCCCTTGACACTCAGAAGTCATTTTACCTGTGTATCTGGACTTGACACTGTGGTTTCTAACATGCGTGAGACCTGCACTCAATACCTCCTGCCAGAGCTCCCGCCCCCCGCACCGCACACTCCCCACCGAGGCCTCAGTAGGGTTGCGATAGGCCCCTTCCAACAGCCTGAGGATTCTCCCCGGATTGACGTGCACAAGTGGACAATTTGGAGTCAAGATTTGCCATTCGGACTTTTTTTTTTTTTTAAATCTTTTAGAAATGCATTTGAAACAGTGTGTTTGTTTTTTCCCTTCTAGTTAAGGGACTATTTATATGTGTATAGGACAGCTGTCTTTGTCGTTTTTTCTTTAGTGAAGGTCCAAAGAAAGATGCAAAAAGACGTCCCGTCTTGGTCCCGCCGGCCCCTGATACCAGTCCCTCCAGACGGACCTGAGTGCCGGGCGCCGTGCACTGCTGCACTTGGAGTTTTTATTTATCGAGTTCTCAGAGGACGCTGAATGCTGGGTGCCTTTCTCCCTCCGTCCCAGTCTGTGTCCCTGCTAGCCGTCTCTCCCTGTGCCCGCCAGCTGCAGGGCCCACCCCCTGGGGAGACAGTGGGTAGAAACCGAGGCCTAATTTGGCAAGAAGAACCTGACAGGATAAAACTGGAACCGGGGAGCCACCCTGGGCAGCTCTCACCCATCGGGGGCTTCTTCCCACAGCCCAAGATGCTTTCAGCATCTCTTTGATGCTGAGATTCGCAGGGGGCCTGCAGCGGGGGAGGGAGTAGCCTTCAGTGATCCTGTGCTGTAGACTTTTCTTAACCCAATCCAGAGGATGTTAAGGGAACGCTAACCACTTGGCAATTTTTTTTTTTTTTTTTTTTTTAAGGAAAGGAAGGGAACCTAGCTGCTTGCATTTTTTATTTTTAAAATAACACTATCGCTATTTTCTGAGTAACCCAATAAAGAAAGGACGTTTGATGGCAGCCAGAGTGTGTTCGAGGCTCTGGCTGAACATTGCCTCTCCTGGGAGTCAGAGTGGCTGTGTCCTCCCGTCGACGGGCCCCCGCTTCTGTCTGGTGCCCTGGGAGTTGCTTAGAGGAAAGGATTCTGATTGTAATTAATTGTGCCGTGAATTAATCTCACGTACTTTTTGCTTCCAGGCCTTTTAGGGAAACAAATGGTGTTAGAAGATAAGGGGAGCCTATTAAATGTTGTTTTTTTAAAACAAACACAGGGACATTTTTATTATAGATTTGATTTTTTAATGAATGTCTTTAAAGGTATGTAAATAGGACGTCAACGCTGCAGGAGTTGAGGGTTTTTCCTCCCCTCGAGACAGCAAAATTAGTGGCCCGCAGTATTTTTTAACTCATTCCAGTCAGGATATTTTTTTATATATTGCCTAAACCGATGCCAACTGGAAAACCATCCCTTCTCCCTCTTCTCAAATGAGATCGAGTCCCTTTTCTTTTAGCATTCAAGTACTTTCACTGTGATAACTACCGTATCACCTGACTCAGCGCCCTCTAATCTGAAATTGACACTTTTAAAAAATGCAACTAAGTGGTTGATCGTGTGTGCTGTTCAAAGCTGATGTAAACTGGAAAGGTTGTGTGCAGTTGTATTTTTTTGGCTAGGTTTTCTTTTTTTTTTTAATTTTATACTTTCAAATAAATTTGCAGTTTTCATTCTTTCTATTGGTGTGAATGGTTCTTAACCCACGTTCTTCCTCTGTATAAAAAACGGACACTGCCCAGCCAGGGTGGCTCAGCCGTTCCCGGTCGGGGCACATGCCCAGGTTGCAGGCTCCATTCCCAGTAGGGGGCGTGCAGGAGGCAGCTGATCAGTGTTTCTCTTACATCGATGTTTCTATCTCTCTCTCTAAAAAAAATCAATAAAAACATAATTTTTGAAAAATGGACACGCACTTCCGTCCTGGCATCTGCCATGAATTTATGCCATTACCAAAGGGGGAAGAAGGAAGAGTATATTGATGGGACCTCAAACCATGATGTGCGTTTAAGGATTCCACAGCTGGTGGAATTTGGGTCATGAGCTGTTATTTGCCAGCCCCTCATCCCACGTTGTGTTCATGGATCCAAAGACAGGGACGTTTTAGAAAAGCATGTTAATAGCCTGGAATATAAGAACCCTTGAAATGGCACCAACCTTTAAAAACAAAAACGGAACTTACAAATAGGCGATTTGAAGACCTGCGAAATCAGCTTTAATGGGCACTACTAGCTCTCTCCCAGTCAGGAAGGAAATACAGGAGGAAGACAAGTAGACGCTTTCCCAATAACATCCTGAACAGCTGGGTTGAATGCACAGGTCCTAGTCAACAAGACGACTCTCGCCCGGCTGGTTGGCTCAGTGGATTGAGTGACATCCCATGAACTGAGAGGTCCCAGTTAGATTCATATCAACGTTTCTCCCCGCCCCCCCCCCCCCCCCCGCCAAAAAAAAAATCAATAAAAACATGTTAAAGCCCTGCCGGTGTGGCTCAGTGGTTGAGCGTCGACCCATGCACCAAGAGGTCGCCAGTTTGATTTCCGGTCAGGGCACATGCCCAGGTTGTGGACCTGATCCCCAGTGGGGGGCATGCAGGAGGCAGCCAATCGATGTTCTCTCTCATCTGTGTCTCTCTCCTTCCCTCTCTCTAAAATCAATAAAGAAAAAATATTTTTTAAAAAGACTACTTGCACTAGGGATTCTGTAAGATGATAAATTGACACAAGGTCTGTCTGAGAAAGAAGGGGGATGAGCGACCTGAAAGGCATTGTCCGTGTTCCCCATTTAGCTTGCCACCCAAAGCAAGGCGGCAGATCCCAGGAGTAAACTGTATAAGAAAGACCTTCAGGGCACAGCAGAAGTGCCGCAGTGCACACGGGAAAGGAAATGCTCCCCCTGAGACCCTCCGGAGAAACGCCAGTGAGCACACAGGCAGACTCCCTGGACGTCCTACAGTGAGTCAAGGTCATGGGAACGTTACTGGAAACTCCAGTCGTCAGTGATAGAAATTCAACTCATACACACTTAACTGTGTTACATTTTAGAAGACATGCTGACTAATGCAACCAAGTCCAAAGGTATGGGACTGTTGGTTGGGGGCAGGACGGGATCCAGTTGTTCCACAACTGCGATTCGGAATCTGCGTCTCTCTGCCCCGCTTCCCAGCCCAGCTGTGCCCAGGGTCGGCTCTGTGGCTTTACATCCGGAAGATCCAGGCTCACAGTCTCAGATACGATCTTCATGAAAGTCCATAGAAATTCCCTTTCTTTCTTTTGCCTTTTATCTATTTTTTATTGAATTTATTGGGGTGACATTCTTTTGCAAAACCATACAGGTTTCAGGTGTACAACTCAACATCATGCTCCCATCACTCCGATAGAAACAGGCACGGATACATGGAACAGACTGACAGCTGTCAGAGGGGAGGATGTTTTGGGGGCTGGATGAAAGGTGAAGGGATTAAGCAAAAAAAATTATATGTGTATAAACCACATAGACACAGACAACAGTGTGGTGATAGCCAGAGGGAAATGGGCATGGGGGGGGGGGGGATGAAGGTGGGCAAAGGGAGGGGGGATAGGGACAAAGAGACTTTGCTTGGGGTTGCTGGGTCATGTCACTACTATGTGTGACAATCAATCTCTTGATTGACAGCCTCAGCTGAATCACATGGAGATGGAAAGGGGCAATTCCTGTAGGGAAGGGGCTGGTAGTAGGCAAAATACCAATGCCTCAGCTCTAGGACCTCCCCAAGGATGGGACCCACACTGCCTGGCACAATTTCTAGCACATACAAGGAGAAGCATGCAAATACAAGCTTCAGGCAACGTGGCCAGGTCTGAAAGAAGCAGAGGCAACGTCACGGTGAAAACGTCAGGCCCTTCCACGGCCTTTCCCTAAACCTAGGAGGCAAGGTCCCTGTCCGGCTGCAGGCACACTGGGCTTGGGCTGGGTGTGCTTTATGAGATGGTCATCTGGGGTAGGGCACAAGGACATGGACAAAGCCTCGGGGAGGAGTTCAGCTCTAAAGAAACCTGGACGATCGTGGAGGCTCCAAACTGTCCCCGAACCACTGAAAGTCCTGAAAGAAACAGTTACCCACCCCACTTAGAGTC